AAGCTACGGGTTTTCAAGGCCCTGATAATGCCAGTTTTGCTATACGGTAGCGAAACCTGGACATTGTCCTGTGCCTTGGAGGCTCGTCTTGAAGCCTTTTGTAATAGGTCCTTGCGCCAGATCATGGGGTACTGTTGGCGGGACCATGTGTCCAACCAACGGTTGCACCGTGAGACTGGCACAAGACCTGTTATCTGCACAATCCGTGATCGCCAACTAAGGCTATACGGCCACCTGGCTCGCTTTCCTCAGGATGATCCTGCCCATCAGGTCGTCTCTGTTCGAGACAACCCTGGGTGGAGGAGGCCTGTGGGATGACCGAGGAAGTCATGGCTTGGGCAGATCGACCAAACCTGCCGTGAAGAACTAGAGATGGGCCGAGTCCCTGCCTGGCGTCTAGCCATGAGGGATCCTCGTAGGTGGAACTGAAGGGTGGATGCGGCTATGCGCCCCCGTCGGCGTCAGCCCCCTTGATGATGATGATGATGATGATGATACGATGATAATGCTAATAATAACTAGGACGATAACAATAATGATGATGATCAGTATCATAGTTACCATTATCATCACCATTATTATCATCTTTATCATCATCATCCTTAGTCATACATTCACACCTTCTCCTCTTCGTAGAAATATTCCCGAAGAACCGCTCTGGCGATGGAGAAGGGGCGGAAGGGGTGGTGATGATAATGAGAATAATAGTAATAAAGATAATAATGATAATGATAATGATGATAATAATAAGAATAAAAGTGACAATAACAATGATAATGATAATAATAATGACATTAATAATAATAAGGATAATAATATCAAGAATGATAGTAAGAACCAAATGATGATAACAATGATAATAAAGATAATTATAGTAATGACAATCATAATGATATTGATAATGATAATGACAATAATAATGGAAATAATAATAGTAATAATAATGATAATGATAATAATATTAATAATAATAATAATAATGATAATAATTACCATGAAAATGATAATGATAATAATGATAATAATCATGAAAATGATAATGATAATGATAACAATAGTAGTAGTAGTAATGATTGATGATGATGATAAAGATTACATCAATGACAATGACTCTGGTAATGATAATAAAACAATGCCAATGACAATGATATTAAGCTAACCTAACCTAACCTAACCCAACCCAACCAACCTAACCTAACCCAACCCAACCCTAA